TCACCTGGAAGGTGGGCTTCCCTCAAGGTTGAAAGGATTAAACATGATCATGAACATGCTCTTATTCCAGTGCCCGCCCCATCAATGCTCAATAAGTGCTTTTTGTTATAATCCCTATCCTTTGGGATTAGGCATTAAACACAGGCTCAAGACGCTGAAACTCACTACAGCATAAAGTACCTAGTTACATCAAAACCGTGGCGAAACAGTGGTCTCCCTGGGTGCTGGGCTCAGCGGCAGGCGGCAGGCAGCCTTCTCACTCTATCTGCAGAGCCCCAAAGGCCAAGGCTGTTGTAGCTTTGCCTGCCTGTCTGCCTGCTGCTGCAAACCCTGTGAGGTCTGGCCCCAGGGCGTTTTCACTCACTGCTCTTTCTGCCTGGAAGGCTCTTCCCCCCAGACGGTGACAGGGTTTACACCTTCATTTCATGTAGACACCAGCTCAGATGTCACATTATCAGAGAACAGTTGTCCCTGACCAAACTCCCTATATAGAGTAGCATTCCCACCGCCACTGGGGCCTTAGCACTCTAGCCACACCCCTCGCTTTCTATTTCTCCATGGCCCTCATTGCCTCTGACATGGAATTATGTGTTTATTGTCCATTTCTCCCATTACATGCACACGAGTGCAAGGATTTAGCTTTGGGCTCTGCTCTTTTTATTTTTATTACTTTTTTAAACTTCATTTGGGGAATAGTGTGTTTTTTCCAGGACCCATCAGCTCCAAGTCAAGTCGTCATTTTCAATCTATTGGGTTGTCGGAAAAGTCATGACACATTTTTGACATGAAAAACAGAAAACATGTGTCATGACTTTTCCGACAACCCAATAGTTGAGGGCACAGCTCACTGGCCCGTGTGGGAGTCCAACCGGCAACCTTGGTGTTAAGAGCCTGCACTCTAACCACCTGAGCGAACCGGCTACCCTAGCTCTTGTTTTAAATGGCCCTCCTCACTTCCTCCTACTCAAAAGCCTGGCACGGTTATCTCTTGAAAGAACCTGTAGGTTCTTCTCACTCTGTCATGGAGAGGCAGCTACTTGCCAGCCCCATATCATTATCACCGTACACAGAAGACAGGACATACTCCATGCGGTGTAATAACACGTGGTCATGCTGGCTAGGTGTCTCTGGGAGAGTGTTTCAGGCAGAGGTGTGGTAAGTACAAAAGCCCTGCGGCAGGAACAGGTTGGAATAGAAGATCTGGCAGTGGGAGTGGAAGAGAGGATAATCCCAAGGCTTTGGGTCTAAATAATGAAAGTATGGAATTGACATTTGCTAAAATGAGTCAGCTGGGGGAGGGAGCAGGTTTTGGATGTAAGTTTTGAGATGCTTTCGGGTTGCAGGCACCTGCCAAGAATCAGGCCGTATGCCAAATGCTTTACTGAACAGATAAGGACATGGAGGCACCAGAAGTTATGTGTCCCTGGGTCTCAGAACATGTACCTAGAAGGCTGGGATTTGAACCTCGGCTGCTTCTCCAAGGACTTGTTACCTTGAGAAGCACTGGTCACTGAAGGAAGAGCTGAGGACTGGCCTGAAATTGGAAAAAAATCGAGCATAACTTGGACAAGGTGAACTCGGACTTCTTTCCCAAATCCTGGAATACCGGGACAAAGAAGGGCCTTCTGTAGTTGGACTGATAACGTTTGGGGCAAGTACCAGGAAGCACCACATCACAGAAGCCTTGGGGCTGCAACCCGTTTAGCCTCAGACGCGCAAACCCATTTCCACATCCACTCAGGCTGTCACGTGATGCCAAAACAATGGGAGGAAACGTGGAAAATCCGCTTGAGGTTATTATCATGGGTTACACTCCAACTTTTCGTATTTTCTAAGATTTGTTTACTTAGAAATCATTCACCCAAAATACCGCCGATGGGACAGACAAGCCTTTCGGAGCCTCAATACCCAGTGTGATCTGCAGCCCAGCAGCAGCAGCAGCACCTGGGAAATGCTGGAAATGCAGAATGCCAGGCCCCACCTGACTCACTGGATCAGAACCTGCACTTGAGCAAGATTCTTAAGAGATACATACGCCTGTTACAATTCGAGAAGCCCTGGCCTAGAGCAGAGGTCCACCAACTCTTTCTGTAAAAGACCAGATAGGAACTATTTTAGGCTCTGCTGGCCTGTCAGAACTACTGAGTCCCGCCACTGGCGCACAAAAGCAGCCAGAGACGATATATAGAGGAATTAGTGTGGCTGTGTCTGAATGAAACTTTATTTATGGACACCAAAATTAGAATTTTAATTAATTTCCATGTGTCTCAGAGGCTATATAAAAATACAGCCGTCCTCTGACTTGCCTTTCTGGGCTGACCATCCCCAAGCTCCTGTCCCCTCCCGGCGATCCCCTTCTTTCTTCTCTGTGAGCAAGGGGCTCAGGCCCCCTTTCGCTCATGACCTGGGCCAATGTATCTGAAGGTTGATTACTGTAGCTTAATATGAAAAGTCAACGGAAGAACTGAGATTTTAATCATATACTTTGCCAGTTTCCACAAATACAGTGTATTTGCTGCTGTTTCCTACCTTGAAGTTTTCTTTCTCCAAAAGACCAATATGGAGGATTCAACAGCTTTGGGTAGGGGGCTCCCTACATTTCAATGGCATTTATTCTCCTTGGCCCCTCTATCTGTCTATGTTACATTCCAACTGCTGGAAAGAAGGAGCACACAATGCAGGGAAAAGACAATTATTAAAAAGAAGTAACACTTGGGGAGGGAGTTGGAAGAGGAAATTAGAGAAGGGAAGGACTCTCCAGGAGAACAAGAAGATTGTTCCAATTCCAGTGCACTGTGGGGATGAATGCGGGACTTGATAAATAAAGCAAACTGTGTCAAGGAGACTTGCTCAAGCAGAGTTTCTGAAGCAAGTTGGGCAGCAGGAGGATATGAAAAACAAAGATATGAGAGTGATTGGCACAGCATCTCCCAAAGGCTGAGAGCTGAATTTTTTAAATTTGTAGGGCACTTTCATGGCAACCAGGCACTCTCCATTATGTTAGGAATAGGGAGGACAGAGGAAATAAGATTGACCAAATGCCTACGTATGTCAGGAACAGTTACAAGGCATTTCCCACCATTATTTCAATTTTAGTTAAAGCCGCTCATGGAATGAGGTATGCTGGCCACAGTTTTCAGATGAGGAACCTGAGAAGTGAAGAGACGGGATTGGAACCTGGTTCTGTCTGACCATAAATACCCTAATGTTCTCTACTGTCCCACCAAGAATTTAGAGTGGAAATACTGCCTTCACAAAACTCCTCCTTCTTCATACCACTAGCAAATCTCGGGTCTCAGGGATGGGGGAAGAATATAAACAGACCAGGCGACTTCTATGGTTTTCTCTATTTTCTCCCTCCCAACAAATGTAATGCTTTCATTAAAGAAACATCAAGGGGCCGGCCGAGTGGCTCGTTGGTTAAGAGTTGGCTTGGGAGCGTGAGCTCTGAGTAGCAGGGCCACCGGTTCGGATCCCACATGGATCAGTGACGCTGCGCCCTCTATAGCTAAGATGGTGAACAACAGCTTGAACAACAGCCTGTAACTGGGCTGCCATTGAGTCGCCGGCGGTGTCAGTGTAGGCTGCAGTGGGCTGCCATAAGCTACCCTGAGTGGCCGGCAGCCAGTGTGAGCTGCCATGAGCCGCCATCTAATGGCCAGTGACTGATCTGCCTCACCCGGGAAGAGCACAATGATAATACCAACATGGGCCAGTGAAGCAACGTCCTCCACAACTAGACTGAAGAACAAAAGGACAGTAACTTGTCTGTTCCCCTTCCCCGATTCCCCAACACTGTTCCCTCCCCAATTCCCCAATAACATCTTTTTTAAAAAAAGAAGAAGAAAAAAAAAGGAACAAGTCCTGTTTCTGTTCTGAAGAAAATGGTACCACTGGAAGACTCAGTCCATCGGCAGCCTGGTTTCTGAAGTTAAACTGTGTGCTACCAAGTGAATCTAATGACAGATGTGTGAATCCTTGGCAGGAATGTGAAGTTCAGGGACCATTCATCCAGGAATTACTCCATCAGGCAGATATATCACCTCATTTCATCCTCCAACAGTCCTGTGAGGTTTTAATACCATTTTATGGATAAAAAAACTGAGGCTTAGAGAAGTTAAATACCTTGCCTAAGCCTACACAACTGGTAAGAGGCAGGGCCAGGATTAAAACCAAGGACCTTGACGGGGAAGTTTGTCCTCTTAGACTCCACCCTTCAGGATCCTTTTCAAAAAAGTGCAATCACACAAGATTCCTGAGCACTGTCAACCTGTTCAGTATCATATGCCACGATCTTTTGCTGAAGATGGTGGCTATGATGAAACATTCAAGAATATGCTGCACAATCATTAGTGTTATATATACATGAATGAGTAAAAGGGGTTAAACTACTCTAGTTCTCCCCAGTGTCTTCCTCAGAACAACTTTCCCTTGAGTACCCTGAAACAACCAACCAACTAAAAACCAGGGTGGTGGTTCCAAAATCAATTAGGAAAACACTGAATACCTCAATCCCCCTCCTGCAGATTACCACATGCACATTACACATTTTAGGTTCTAACTAGTACTGAAATAAAGGATCCCACCTAACTTTAACCCAGTTTCCCAAAGACCAATGTAATGTCTACTCCCTTTAAAGCATATTAACCTGTTGAGACCTGCAGAGTACACCTTGGGGAACACCGGAACTAGTCTGAGGTGTGTCCATATTCCCCAGAGGTGGCTCTCTGGGATTATGAACCTGGAGGACTTGTCATACACTCCCCTAAAGGTACGAAGGGCCAGATGACCAGTGTGTACATCTAGTTGGATCCATGTTTGAGCCTTCTGCAGCTGATGGGAATTGGGCCTTTGCATGGGGCATGTCACCATTTGCCAGTGCATGAGAAGTTGAGTGTCACAAAGTTGTCATGTGATCAAACACTTTAAACGAGTTGGTTCATGAACCCAAGGTTAAATCACACTGTAAGAGGAACCATTGCACAACAGAATTTATTTTGAAATTATCCATCTTTCTCTGGGAAAGGTGAACCCTATTGTCTGTTTTTTTTCCCCTTAACTGTTGATATTCTCATTTAGATGATGCTTATAATTAGAAGCACCAATCTTTGTAGTAAGCAAATTCATTAAATTCTGATGAGCACTTCCTATTGGGATGAGTATTAAATTTGGAGGGGGGCTGTGGATAGACATTTGACAGTGTTAAGTTCTTTGCCATGCAGAGAAAAACACATTAGGAAAGAGAAGCTAAAAATCTCATCTTCCCGTGTTCCAATGGTTACTTTAAATAATTAATTTAAAGAATGGAATAATGGCCTTTCAGACTGGAATGGACTTTGGAAATCCTCTGGTCTAAGCCCCTCCTTTACAGGTGAGGTCGGTGAAGCTTGAAAATGTTAGGTAATAGGCCCATGCAGCTTGTTTGTGGAAAGAGCTGAGCTGGAACTCAGCTGACTCTGATCAGTGCTCTTTCCTTCAACTCTTCTCTCCTCATTTAAGGCATTCCAGTGTCTTTTTAAGGAGTTAACTTTCTTGATCATTCACTGAAATGAAAAAGCTAGGCTCTTTTGTTTTTCTTCTGTGTTGGAGTGGAAGGCACGTCCACTATGTACACTAGCCACCTCTTGGTTCTGTTGTCTCGATAGCCCTTCACCTTGCCCTTTTTCCCTACCCTCTGCCCCCAAATTGCTCTCCCCCTCCCCTTCAAACACTGTTATCTTTGGAAATGTGTGTGTGCACTTCCCAGCCTGGCTTGGATCCAGAGCAAGGTGACTTGTGGTTTAATGGAGTTTTTCCATAGTGCTTGATTTTGCCCAAGGGTGTGGAAGGTTGGACAACTAACAGGAAACTCTCATCCTTTGCCCTTTCAGCAGGTCTATGTTCTATTAATAAATGGAAGAATTGAGGAGTAACAAGGAAGAAAAATAGGCAGAAACTCCGCTTCAAGTACTTGTCTACCTCCTGGAAAAGTTCAAGGCTCTTGTTCAATGTCTGAACTTTCTCCTTGTGATTCACTTGTAGTCCTTAAGTCATCTTCAGACATCTGCTCAAGGAAGCATCAGAGGAAAATAAAAAGTTGGGTATTTGCAATGAAGCCAGTGCCCTGCCTCACAGGAGTCGGTGGAGAATGTTTTTTTCTTTGGTGCTGGGTGATCAGAGTGGGAGCCTGTACAGGAAGCCTTTCTTGCTGCAGGGGCTACTGTGCGTAAGAGCTCACCCTTTCATATTTCATTCCTCAGCAGACATTGTGAGGGACAGGCCTGTTTTTTCCAATCTAGCACTTACCCTCAGACCCTCCTAAGTACCCAGGAGGCCCGTGTTTTTAATCAGAGGTTGAAACAGAACCTCCCACTGGGTGCCCGAAGAGTCCCGTTGGGGCAGCGCTCCCCCCGCTTCTGGAGGGCAACATCCTGGTGGGGGTGGGGGCTCAGCTTTGCTCCCAGGGCACCTTTTGTCCCTGGAGACGCCCTGCCAACCAGGCATGTGGAGGAAAAGTGCTGTCCGCCTTCCAGGGCGGCAAGTGTGGGTTTTGGGAGCAGGACCATCGCTTTGGAGTAGCGGGGCGCGGGAGCCAGCGAACACCGGTGGGCACAGCGAACTCATTAACTGGACATCCCCGGGGAAGTTCGGGCGGGGTGCGCCGGCTCACGGGCTTTCTTCCTCAAAAATCCATCCTAGGCAGGGCCACCCCGCTTCTCACCCAAACTCGTGGAGACGAAGGATTAGGCGGGCGCGGGGTTCGGCGAGGCGAATCCGGGAAGCGCCCGGCCCAGGCGGCGAGGCCCCTCCAGCGCCGGTCCGCGGCCCAGGGCGCCGGCCCAACCGCCTTGGCCGGGGCTGCTCCCGTGGGGCGGGGGCGGCTATACAAAGACGGCAGCGGAGGCTCCGGGACTCCGGCCGGGGCCGATCTCTGGGCGGCCCGACCTCCCCTCTCGTCGCTGTCGGTCTGCCGGCTCCGCCCGCCCTCCCGCCAGGCGAGGCGGCGGCCTCCTCTGCCAGCGCGGGGTCCCCTAGTTAACCCCTGCCCGCCAGCCCGGCCGCTGATTGGAGGAGGCGGGGCGCCCGGGGCAGCGGGACCCCCACCTTCCTCGTCCCCTCCCCCTGCCTCCCAACCGTGCAAATCTCGCGAGGAAACACGCGGTTTCACTAGTGTGTTTACACCGATCACTACTAATCCGGACCGAACCGATCCGGATTAAGGGGCCGGAGGCGGGTCCTGGGCACCAGCGGTTCCGACCCCCCCCCGCCCTCCGCGCTGCACCCGAGTGGCCCCCAGCCAAGCGGGTCCCCACTTCCCGGCCCGGACTGGGCCCTCCTGCGCCTCCCTTGGCCTTTGTCCGGCGCCAGGAGGCCGGTCCCGCGCCCCCGTGGCCTCCCGGGCCCGGGCCCGCGTCGGGCGCCTGGCTCTGTACGCGAGCCCGGGGATCTGCGGCCTCCGCGGCCCCCCTCCCCCGCCCGCCCTCTCGTGGAGCCCGGCGCCGGCGGCGGCTACCCGGGCGGGGGGTTGCGGCGCTCAGGAGAGGCCCCGGCTCCGCCCCGGGCCTGCCCAGGGGGACAGTAGAGCGGTCCGCAGCCGGGTCGGGTCGGGGCCCCTCCCTGGAGGAACGTGGAGCTGCGGCGGCGGCGGCGGCGGCAGCGGCAGGTGAGAGGCTGAGCTCCGGGCGGGGGAGGGCGCCGGGCCTGAGGCATTAACCGTCCGGGGGGACCCCTTCAGCTGAGAAGGCTGCGACCGGAGCCTACTCGGGGGCCGGCACCGGGCCGCAGCCACTCGGTGCTGAGGCGGGAGGGTCTCCCCGAGGGCTGCGGGTCGCCGAGGGGCCGAGCGGAAGATGGGGGAGGCCCAGGCGGCCCCGGCCTGGGAGTGGAGCGGGCGGCCGGCAGGGAGAGAGGGGCGCCTGGGCAGCTGGAGGCCCTGGCAGCCTCCCGGGCGCCCCCCGAGAGCTGGCCCGCCCTCCCTCCGTGACAGGTGGGCCTGGAGTTGGGGAAAGTTTAGAGCCGGCGGGAGGCGAGGGGCGCCGGGACCAGGCCCCATCGGTCCTGCTTCCCGGCTCGGGTCTACAGGGAGGATCCCAGTCCAAGGCCCCGCTGGAATGAGACTGAGTGGATATTTCCTTAACATGAGTTGACATTAAATGAAATAACCGCTTGGGTGTCGTTTTCCGGGCCAGGCCGGGGGATGGAGGTTTAGGAAATGTTCGCGAGACCCTGGGGTTTGAGGGAGGCTGCAACCTCTGCCATTCCGGCCTCGATTCGGGCAGGGCGACACGCGAGGAAGGCCACTTAAGGGAAACTCTCTCATTCTCCTTTCTCTGTCTTTCTTTTCCATTTTTAAAGATGCCTCTCTACCCTTCCGAGAATTTCCTAATTCCCTCTCTAACCTGCACTTGTATATGTGGGTGAAACTTTAATTTGTCACCCTTTCATTCCCCTTTGCCTCAGGCGCTCAATCCAGGAAGGAAATGAAACTGGAGGACTTGTAGGGGTTGTTACTGGAAATTGTGGAGTTGCTAGATTGCAGAAGAGAATGTTTAATTCATGTTTTCCAGTGAACTTTTAAATCATGGCCATCATTCCAATACTGTTTAATAATATGTTCAAAGGGGGTCTGTGTAATGCTGTATGCTCCTTTTCCACAGAGAGGTTTCCAGTGGGTTCTGCAAAAGTTGATCTCTGGCAAAGGATGGACGTATTTGCTGAAAGTGGCCTGTGCATTAATTGGCCATGGAAGGAGTTTAAAAATGGTGTCCTCCTTCCCCTCCCTGCTTGGAAGGAGTGCTAAAAGCAGATGTCTAGAGAAACCTACTGCTCCAGGGAGTGGTCAGAAAAAGATTTTGTAGAGGGATGGTTATGGAGCTGTACTAATTTCCTGAGTGAATGCAGGTTGATGGTTTTACCATGGGTTCTCTATTAAATTTAAAATAATTAATTCCTTTTTTTTCATGAGCCACTGTGAGCTCTTCAGAGAAAGAAGCTATATAATAGCGTTATTTTTGAAGTTATTTGTAGCTTCTGATTCATGCTGTATAATGAAATTATTATTAATGATTCATATTTTTAGTTTAAGAACTAGTTCCTGTGTGTTTGGGAAAGAGCTATCCAAAAGTACTTAGCTAAATTCAGAGGTTGATTAGAAGGAATTTTCTTTTTTGCAAGCTAGTCCTTGCTTACCTTTTACAGAAATTATATGACAGGTTTGAAGTTTCAGGTTTTTTGCTGTTAAAATCAAATCACAACTAGAGAAGAATAAGTGACCCTCAGAAGAGAACTTTGAGCCGCTTTATAACTTTAAATGTATTACTATTTGATGCTGCACACTGTTCAGTTGTATGCTCTAATTACTTGAGGTTTACCTGTATGTGACCATTCAGTGAAATAATTACTGTGAATTTTGTTATATCTCAAAACTGGCTCCTCATGTTTTAGCTTTTATGGTCTTACAACCTACTTTGTTTTTGTTTTTTCAGCAGAAATGATGGAAGAATTGCATAGCCTGGACCCACGACGGCAGGAATTACTAGAGGCCAGGTTTACCGGAGTTGGTGTTAGTAAGGTGAGTAAAATGATAATGAACACTGTTCGCAGTCTAATTTAAACACGTATAAAAATCAATTAAGGGCAGTTTGGGTGGACCATACTGATAGTTAGTAGGAGAGAAGATTTAGCTCATGGTTCCAATGAACTTCTAAATCCTACCAGTCATTCCAACCATTTAGCAGTACCTTTGAAGGTATTCTATATGGGAGTATATGCTTTTCCCACTCTGATATGGGGGAGGTTTCCCATGGATCTATTGAAAGGATACTTAACGGGGTGTGTAGTCTATGCCATATTTTGTCAAAACTCCTCAATCACTGAGAAAAAAACCGTTAATTAAAGGTATTGGCGTGACTTCCTTACACTGGATTTTTTGGGTAGTTATATGGTAGTAGAGTTTTGAAAAATCTGTCTAAGTCTGTCAGTTCTCCAAATCTGCAGTTCAGCAGATTCCTCCGGGTTGCACCCCCAGACTACTTTCTTTCTCTTCATATTTTTCCTCCTTGTTCACTTTTTAAATTTTTGTTCTGGGAGCATAAAATAAGATCAAGCCTCCATTAACGGGCAGGTGTTAAGCAATGTTATGGCTTCCTGTGCATCCTTATGTACCTGCTACTTCACCCCTCTGCTCTTATAGGATGGTTTTAATATCATATATAAAGCATTTGATTTTAATACAATATGTAAAATATATGTATGATGTTTTATTTTAAAAACTTCACCAAGCCCAGATTGTTGTATGACTTGGGCTTGAGACTTGTGAATTTTTGGTCTTTGACTTAATGTGATACATTTCTTAATGTGCTTTTCAAGGAATCTTATTTCTCATGGTGATCTAGATATTAGTCTCACGTTTTAGTAGCTTCTTAAAGAAGGTGTTTGTCAAGTTTTAGTTGAAAAAACTAGCTGCTTTGATGAGTCATAATTTCGGTGAGCTGGAATACTTTGATAGTTTTTGTTCATTGAACAGATGTTGAGTGCCTACTGCATACTGGCATTGTGAAGGGTGCTAGGGATGACACCTCAGCACAGTGCCTCCAAGCCCCCATTGTGGAGACAGCGAGAGACACAGAGATGATGCTGTGATGAGAGCTATGTCAGAGCTGTGACATGGTGCCATGGGAACACAGGATCTATTACACGTTTTGTACTTGGTTTCTTTGGCCACTTGAATAACTGACTTCATGGCACTTTGGAGGGCTATGCTCCTGACTATTGTCATATGTTAAGGTTATATGTATAAATGTAAATACTCCGAGCTAGCTTCAACTGGAAGTGAGCACTATATTTAAGTATTAAATTGATCTCTGATTCAGTTGATTACCTAATAATGACCTTTGATGTGTCTTTTAACTTGGGAATTCAGCAGAAGGCTCATATCCAAATTTGTCTGTTCAAATGGTTACCTACTGAGTAAAAATAAGTTTGTATTCAGATGGTAGGTAGTTTAAACTCATTGGACTTTATTGTTAGTATGCTTTTTTTTCCTTTTGTTTTTATGTTCATGATAGCTTATCCAAGTATACTTTTGATGGTGTAGAGCATAAGTGATGGGAATGAGTGACATTAGGGATTTTGCTGTTTGGGCCCAACTTAACATCATGTAACTAATGTGTCAGAAAACGTTATCTGATTATCTGTTTAATAGGAAGGTCTACCTTTAATATATAGAGGAAGAAGTTCATTTCTATCCAAATGTTTTTATGGCATTGATTGTATCTTATTTTGACATTGCCAGTCATGGTAAGTAAATTGATTACAATAAATATATCATTCAGGGACTATCAAGGAAGTGTTTTTTTCCACCATAGCAAAGAAACTTGAAGAGAAAAAAAAGCAAGTAAATTATTCTGTAGTTTGCAGAGTTAGGAAGAGGAAAAGAAAATCTCCATTTTGTGCAACATCTTTTGCCTGCAAGACATTATATCGTATCTCACACCACTGATTTGAAATAGTAGTGGAGAGGGGGCGGTGGTACTGGGAGAAAAGGTGCTTTTGCAAAAACTCCTCCAAGTTTTGAATTCCTCATTATGGGTCATAATTTCCTAGTGAGGATGTCACTGATGACAGCTTTCAGTTTTGCAAAGATCAAGAGAGCTTTCAGCCCTTGCTCCAAAAGAGAGAGCAGTGACTTCCCTGTGATAGTGCCATCTAGTGGGGCTGGTGTAGCCTCATGGGGTGTCTCTTGAGTTTCTCCTAACTATTCATAACATTTTCAGTCCTTTTTGATGTCCATAGAAGGAAGAAAGTCAATGCCACTGTGGATTCTTTCCTAGTGGATAGGAGTGTTTTAAGTAGCTGCAGTCTTTGAACTTCCTGGTTATTATAGATCTTCTGTCATGTTGCTTCAATTTTTTTGGCACCTGCAAATTAGATACACATTACAAAACTCACATGAAAACGAAATGGCCAAGCCACTGCATTTATTATTTATATTTAAGATGCTCTTTATTTATATTTAGGTTTTTTTATTTGTAAATTTTAAATTTTCTTGCATATTGCATTTATATGCATTGAGTTTCTCTTTGTTTAGCATATTTAATTTATAATAACTGTTGAACCAAAAGCACTTGTTTTGCACTTTGGGACGCACTATGTGGTTTTTATTTAAGAGATTGATGTTTTTTGTCATTAGTGAGTTGATGATAGAGAGAAGTAGCCTAATGTGCTCCAAGAAGCTTTAGTTGGCTTTTCTCAACTCTGGTCTAGCTGCCACTTTTTAGGAGGACCTGTAACCATTCTGTTAACCTTTTTGAGGTCATAAGGTTCAATTGAGTTATGAACCCACTTTTTCATTTCTTGTTGACCTGATATGTGAACTGTCTTACTTCCTTTTTAGGATCTCTTCCTTTAGGCACTGGATAACCCACTTCCAGTAATGTGAAACTGACTATACCCTGTACTGATGTGTTTTCAGTGAGGTCCACTGCACTTTATATTCCCTTCTCGACTCCCTTTTGACAATTTTAGTCTCTGGTTCTGGAGACGGTGTGAAGTAGATGGAATTGCACCTTGCATGCACTGGTATCTGAACCTAGTTGACTTTTAATGCTAATATAGTAGCAAATACTTATGTAGTACTTACAATGTGCCAGGTACTGTTCCATGTACAATAAAAGCAATAAGAAGTAAATTTAGATCTCTCTTAATTGAGATACTAATCAATAAACTTCCATTCTCTTTTATAAGACATGTGAACTAGTGCCCACTGCAATGCTCCTACCAGTTGAAGTATAGACTTACCAAGGATCACTTTATGACAACTTGCATTTATAGTATAATTTAATACAAAATTACGTGAACCAATGACATGTTGTAAAATGAAAGAATTGTTGGCTCTAAGAAAACTAACTGCCTTGGAAAGACACAATATGAGGTGCTATCTATAAAAATGTATAAATTATTATTTTTTTTAATCTGGAAGAATTCTTCAGTTAGATCCTTGGCAAGCATCATTTAAGTTCTCCCTTCACTTTTAAAGAAATCGAAACTGGAAATTGTAGATGATGCATTATGGGTGTGGTTTGTGTAAGTGCAGAACTGCAGTCAGTGGATTTATAACTCAAAAGGCCAACATCAAAAGACTAGCAAGAGAATATACATTTATATGTTTTAAGTTAAAAAAAAATGTTTAAGGTGCCATTTTTTTTTTTTAAGATTCCACACTGTAACCTACTTTTTTGACTAATGTCGTTGGTTTTAGTTGTATTGGATGAAAAGGTTTATGCAGTATGTGGATGGTATTGAAAAGGAGAGCAAAATGAGAAGTCATGAAAAGTGGGACTGTTTGTTTTGACAAAGACAAAACATAAGATAAGAACCTTCACTTTATAGAGCCTGAAGCAAGACCATATACTTTTAAGTAATACCACATAGATTTTTGATGTCTTCTTAAAGAAAAATCTCATTTCCTGTCTATAAATTTAAGAGTCTGATACATGATCACGTTAAATGATCAGATTTGACTTCTGAAAAGATGTTTAACTGACAGTTGCCTTTCTCTCCCGTCATTTAGTTAATTACATCAATTAGAATGTGTCAGTTATGGATATCTAGTGTTAGCTGTTTTATATACCAATGCCAATAATTAAAATTAGATGTTTTACATTTAATACATAGTTACACAATGCTCAGTAAGCGTAAATGCTGAAAAATAGTCTATCCTTCTACTGGTGAATTTTAAGGAACTGTTGATAAATTTATTATTGTGTTTGCCTTTATGTTGTCTTCTCCTTTTCATTTACTTTAGTGTTTATTTAATGCTCTCATTTCACATGTAGTCGAGTATCAACTCATGTGTCTTGTTTCTCTGAAATTTCTCAAGCATTTGTTTGCCCCCACTGCTACTGCCTTAATCCAGACCTTCACTCAGGACTGTAATAGCTAGTCTCTCCTATCCCATTCATCTTTCTGTAAACTGCCACAGGTTATATTTCAACAAAATACCAGTATTATTGTTTTACTCCCTTGCTTAAAGCTCCCATTGCCTACTGGATAAAGGTAAAACTCCCTCTTTTAAATTTTCAACTTTGTGTCTGTTCCCCTACTGCTGTGCTCTGCTACCTCAAACCATGACTGATCCCCTCACCTGTAATGTTAGCGAACAGACTCGGGCTGCCTCCTCTACCTTTCCTTTTTTATTTGCCTGATGAACTTGCAGTTTATTCTTCAAAGCATAATCCAGATATCTCTTCTTCATAGCTTTTCCAGATACCTTCACCAGCCTAGTTGCATTGTCTTATTAGCATTTGATAACCTACTTTTATTATAATACATCATTTGGTTCCGCATTAGTCTCCTTGAGAATATGGATGATATCTTTTTTTTTTTTTTAATTTTTTTTATTGGGGAATTGGGGGTAGGGGAACAGACAGGTTGCTGTCGTTTTGTTCTTCAGTCTAGTTGTGGAGGACGTTGCTTCACTGGCCCAAGTTG